AACTTAGTAAAGTGTAAAGTAAAGCTTTTTTTTTTATTATAAAGTGTTTAGGTAACTTAAAGCTGTTAACTTTTTATTTAAGTTTTTATAAGTTACTTATAAAAACACTATAAATTAATCTAAGTTAATAATATCTTTATTTATTAGTAAGTTAATTAAGGCTATTATATTATAGTTAAGTTAAAAGTAAGTGTATAGTAACTAAAAGTGTTTAAAAGGGAATTAGTCTATATTTTTTTAAGTTTATATTAAAGCTTATGTAGAAAGAAAAGTAGGTCTTTTTATTTTTTATTAAATAGTAAGGGATTAAGAAGTTAGTTAGATTTTATTACTAAGTTAAAAAAGTTATAAGTTATAAGTAGTGTTAAGTAGAAAAGAGTTAAGCTATCTTTAGACTTCTAAGTAAGCTTTAAAGCTAGTAAGTTCTTAGTTCTTACTACTATAATAAAAGTTAAGGCAGAAATAGACTACTTAATAATATAAAGTTATTTTTTAAAGTTTTTTTAAAAAGCTTTAAAGCTTATAACATAGTAGCTTTTTTATAAAGTAAGTGCTTTTTAGAAAGCTTTTTAGCTTACTTTAATAGCTTAAAGTTATATAAGTACTAAGCTTATTAAATTAAATTTAGAGGCTATTCTTAGCTAGAGTTTTAACACAACATAATATTATAATTATACATAAGTAAGGTTATAAAGCTTTACAGAGGTCTAGTTTAATTACTACATAAAGTATTATAGTAAGTATAAGATGTTATGTAAGAAATAAAAAAGTTTAGAAGAAAATTAGTAATTAAATACTTAGCTTAAAAGTCTAAGCACTTTAAGTATAAATTAAGCCTATTTTAGGTTTAGTTAGTGTTAAGGCAGTTTATACTTAAGTTTATGTCTGTGTTGTGTTGTGTTTATGTTAGACGTGCACTAATAATACTCTAGTACGCGTCTAATACAGTTATGTCTAGGATCTGGGGAGGATACTGTGACACTTAAACTAAATTAAATACTTTTTAAAGTTAAATATAGTTAAATAAATAATTAATATAATATTATTAATAAAGCTATTACTAGTAAAAGTAAGTTTTTTAATATAATATAACAGCATAGGCAAGACAATAGATCTAAATGCAGTAGAAATCTACTTAGAGGCATATAGAAGTGCGTGGGGATTCTAAACCTAGAAATGCTAATAACACCTATAGGCCTTGTATAAAAGAATATTAGAAAACTACTAAGCTAGCTATAGAGGTAAGGTGCGACTAAATACATAAAGGAATAGGGGTAACTGCAGAGGACAGGATTAAGTCATAGTCAGGGCCAATACAGGGACCCTTCGGATAGGTTCTGAGCGACCTAAGATGGAACGATTTGTGAGAATTGTTACAATCTTAGCCTTATAATAAGCTATATCTAATATTCTTTTAGTATGTCTAAGTAGTGTTATTAAAAATGCATTAGTGTAAAAAAAGTAGTTTAGTAGAGTTTTAGTAAAAGTAAGTAACTTAGATGTATAAGCAACTTACTTGTAAAGTACGTTAAGCACATACTTAAGCTATATATATAAGAATTTTTCTTTTAGCTAGTAGCTATAGCTAATATAGCTAATTCTTTACATGCTAAGTATAATCTAAGCTATATTAGCATAAACTAGTCTAGTATATTTATAAAGTGTTATTTAAAGCTTAAAGTAAAGTTTAAGTGTAAGTATAACTATAAAAAGGCTTTTTATAAAATTTTTAAAGTAATTTAAAGCTAAGTATAGTATTTAAAATAATAATATATATAGCTTTAATAAAATAGACTTTATAATAGGCTAGATATCTACTAACTATACCTACACTTAAAATATTACTTTTAGCTTTAGATAACACTTTATAAACATACTAAGCTAGTTTATGCTAATATAGCTTAGATTATACTTAGTATGTAAAGAATTAGCTATATTAAGCATAGCTACTAGCTAAAAGAAATTTTTTTTATGCATATAGCTTAAGTATATACTTAATAATTACTTACTTTTTATTATTATTTAGCTTTTATAAGTTAGCTATAAAATTAGCTTATAAAAGTTATTTAGTATATTAGTTATTTAACTATTATTTTAAAAAAAACTTTATATATAACTATAGCATATTACTTTAAAGTGTTATATTTTATTTAAAAGCTTAAAGTATAAGCTATATCTAATATTTTTTTAGTGTGTCTAAGTAGTGTTATTAAGAATATATTAGTATAAAAAAAGTAGCTTAGTAGGGTCTTAGCAAAAGTAAGCAACTTAGGTGTGTAAGCAACTCGCCTGTAGTGTACGTTAATATATGCTAATACTATGTACAATATTTGCTTATAAAATAAATCTGTTACTATTATTATTACTGTTTTGTTAAAAGTGCTGCTAATATTTAATTGGCTAGATTTTCGCTTATTGAAAACCGCGCTGGTTACTTCGCCGTAGCCTTGAGACCAATCGCTGTGATCAAGCCATGTGTTTGTACCTCCGCAGACCCAGCTGTTCCTGGGGTATCATTTCGGACACCGAAAAAGTGGGGATTTGACATGGGCATATTTGAGATTGATACTGCAGCATGCATAGACGCAGTCCAGAACATATTATGAACAGTGCTTCTGCTGGCCCAACGAAGATCATAATTGCTACCCAGAACTCCTCGACAGACCAGGGCAAAGGGAAAATCATCACAGAAGCAATGCTCTCAATTGGTTTGAAGGTAGTGAGCTCACCTCAATCTTGGAAGGCAATCTTTGGTCTTTTCATAGTTATGGTCGTGGGTTACGTTGGGTGTGAATTAGTGTACCAGGCAAGCCGACCCCGGTGGTACATGAGTGTCAGGAGGCTGATATGTCCTTACAGAGATACTTAGACCAGAAGGCAGTACATCGATGGGATGCTATCAACAGAGTCGGGCGCATCTTTCGCGATTTTGTAAGTGCCTAGGACATCACTGAATTTTACCTCGCCGTTGACATTGTGCAGAGAAATGGTAGATACTACAAGCCGTGGAATACTGCGGCAAATCTTACCATAGTATCCTCCAAGAGACACATAGCTGAGCTGAGCGAAGCGAGTTGTCTTTCTCAGCGTGCAGTATATGCCGATGTGAATCTTACCGCACTTGACACGTCTCAAGGACTAACATGAGATAGATGTTCGGATTCAAGCACACCATGAACAAGCTTGAACACAACACTGTTGATCGCAAACTTGTTCGGACCAGGTTATATGCCCGTCTACTGCAAGTAAATGGTCCAGGGTATCTCGATAAACTATTCCCCTTCCTACAGGCGAAGTTGCATGCCGTGCTCCAAGACGAGGTTGAAAGAGGAATTTCGCGCGATGGTATGTTTTGGGTTGATGCTTTGCACAATCTTATGAGAATGGACTCTCCTCACACTCGTTAGATAATCTATTCATTCCTGTGGCCCAGACGGCACGCCTACTAGCCTCGAAACTCATGGCTTTCGTCTTCTATGGGGATTTGCTAGGTACGTCTACTTAGCGAGGCTCCTGGCAGCAATACTAACCTTCTGATAGCTTCAGATAAGGTATTTTCCGATGCTCTTCTGCGATATCCGAAAGATATGATTAAGTGCATGGCCGCGTTCCAATTGACGCCTACTTTTGTATCTCCGTAGGTCTTGTCTCTGATAACCTTCTGGGCGTAATCTCATTATGCCAGGATTATGCACGCGATTTTGACGAACCGTGGGGCGGCGATGCACATCATTCAAGGCCGTCTGCAACATATCATGGGTCCGGGTAAGAAGGCTTGGAACGAACCGAAGGGTACCAAAGAGGTGATTCAATTTGATTCTTCAACCGCTGGATCCCCTATATTAACTCTGTCGTTCACAGCTTACCATCCTCCACAATATGATGGAAATGACCGAAGACAGTGATTACTGGGAACCGGAACTTTTGTCTCAGTCTTTGCTTGGAATTTGGTTTGCTGCATCACACCAACCGTGGATGTTCTTGGACTTCGTGCTTCTCGAGCTGTGTGCTCAGCCCGAAGCTCAATACTCGCTTCAAGAGGAGTTGGATTCTCACGCGCCGTCGAGTTATCATGAGTTGGAAAGACTCCCTCTTCTCGACAGTTTCATCAAAGAGACCATAAGACTGAACCCTTTGGACAAGTGGAAGAGCCTCCCCTGATGTTGGTGGTCGGCATCCTAGTCTCTAACACAATTTCACAACAGTTGCAATTCGTCGAAAAGCTTTAGAGCCATACACGTTCTCCGGAGGATCACCGTCAGTTCCTCAGAATGGTACGGTGTGTGTTTCAGCGTATAATTTGATGCATGATCCCCACCACTATCCCGAACCAAACTCGTTCAAGGCCGCACGGTTCGTACCCAAGACCGCGAACGATGGGCAGCAAAAATTCACTGAAATCTCCGAGAAATACCCGGTTTGGGGATATGGATCTCTTGCTTGGTATGAACCACTGTCCAAAGCTTGGTTATTCTGATACTGACCTCTGCGTCATTAGCCCCGGCCGCTTTTATGCCTCGTTGGTCATGAAGCTCATTGTCTCTCAAATCCTCCTCCAATACAACATACGGCTCGAGAATGAGAAGGCAAGGACAAAGTGGTGCTGGGAGAGTTTTACAATGCCCTACGAGTCGACAAGAATTGCGTTCCAGGAACGGCGTCGCTCGTAAATTTGACAGAGTTGCAACAGGGTCGGTCCATGAATATTTTCGTTGCTTGAATTTGCAGCCACCATGTGGTATAGGTCTAAGACATTGCAGTGAATATTAATAGCACGCTATTTTATTCAAGGGAACGTAGTCCGAAGAGAGACTTTGCTAACGTTCAATATTATGTTTCCATAAATCTTTGACGTCAAGTGCCACCCGGCAGACACAGCGAGAAAGCGAGCCCTGATTTGATAATACCGTTCCCTGAAGCAGTACGGTCAAAGAATTGAATAATAAAGGCATCGCAGACGGGAGTTGGGATGCGGCAAAGTACAGAAAGGGGTCTGGGCCCATGTATTGCCAATCCAACTCCGAGACGCAATATTGATCGTTCGAACTAGCTCTGCAATGATGTGGCACGTAATTATCCGGTATCTAGGAATTTGCAAGTCTCGTGCATGTACAAGGTCTGGCCGAACCCGCCGTTGGGGCTAGGACCGTGGAATACGCCTCCTGATGCACGAGCTCCGGGCGACATAATCTGAACACCGTCTGCAATAAACATCTCATGTGAGAATACGGAATCTATCATTCTTGACCCCAGCCCCAGGCACTTTGACTAGAATTATATCAGGCCCCAGGCTTACTTACATCCTTGTACCACATACCATATATTACCACTCCTCAGACATGATGTCCATCTTGACACTTCTATTCTCGGCCCTGGTATTCCCATTGCATGGTTCATCGGCATCAGGGAGCCATTGCTGCACAAAATTGCGCTCTACTTTTGGAAACTATGTCCTGTTCCCAGATTCATTGGAATACAACACCTCGGTCTCGTCGTATTTCTACATGGAGCAACGTACAAGCCCTTCCTGCATTATCGCACCCAGAGATGTCGAGGAAGTGGCTGCTGTCCTGAGGTCACTGCAATCTTGTAAAGATGTGGAAGTCGCCGTGCGAAGCGGCGGCCACTCTCCTAACCAATTCTTTTCCAATGCGAAGAATGGGGTAACGATCGACTTGCGTGGCCTCAATTCTATTGTTCCAAAGGAAGATGAAAACATTGTTGCCGTGGGAACGGGCGCGCGATGGCGCGATGTCTATAGTATACTGGACCCTCTGGGAAGGACTGTAGTCGGCGCAAGGGTTGCTAGCGTTGGGGTGGGTGGCTTTTTGAGTGGTGGTAATGGTGCCCATTCCACGACTCTCATGATTAGAGCTAACAATAACCCGAGGCGGGATCTCGTTCTTTTCCCCATCTGAGGGATTTGGATGTGACAACGTTCGCAACATGCAGGTGGTTCTTGCAAATGGCACGGTTGTTGATGCCAACTCGAGGTCGAACCCGACCCTCTTTCGCGCCCTCAAAGGGGGACAAAACAACTTCGGAATTATTACAAGATTTGATCTCAAATTAAAGAAAGTCTCGAAATTTTGGGGAGGCGCCATTCTATCTCCGGGTGCCGCGGATCCCGCTCAGCTCGACGCCTTCACTACCTTCAAGCTTGGAATCTACGACCCATTGCTTGAAATCGAGCAGACCTTTGTCTATTATGGATCTCAGAACTCTTCCTTCAGTTCGAATAATTTATTCTATCTGAATGATGGAACAAACACGAGTGCATTAGATCGATTTACGCAGATACGTCCACAGATTACCTTAACGAAAGCTTTGGCGAAGATATGCACCTTAGGGAAGAAGTCTTTCAGTATGGTTTGCGAGAGAGGGATGACGATTTCGACAATGGACCTTCACATTGCGGACTCACCCACAAATGCGTAGAAACAATTAGACTTGCTTGGAACCTTATACTTAATCTTGTTCACACTGAAGCCAACATCTCGCATAACGCTCGAGAACCTGTAACTCCCACTCTCGGGATACTACAATTTATCCCGCCATGCCATGATTTAAGCTAGAGAAAATTCCTCTTCCTTTTGAACGTAGGCCAGTTGGCTTACTTTGGCAATGATCTTCACTAGTTTTTGACATTTCTTCGACACATTGCCACGAATGACGGGCTTAGCTTCTCCACGAACAGGGCAGCATACAACTCAGATAGCGACACGTGCTCGGCTTGTGACAAGTATGAGGTGTTCGTTCAATTCGGTAGCACTATCTTCTGCGAAGACGCGGTGATGGTCGAAGGTATGGTGCGATGTTTTCGCTATTGGCAAGAGGAGTCAGGACTGGTATCTGCCATTTCTGGGGTGGAGGTACTACATAGAAGTTCACTTACAGGGTAAAAACTCGTCAATCATGAGCCGCAGCTCCTCGTGGAAGTCCAGGAAACGGAAAGGTTGAGACCGCGGTTCCTGAGGTTCCTCCGTCTCCTCTACTAACGTTGTGTTGGTGACGTGGTTGGAGTGCGCAGGTGTGAGCGAGTTTGGCTTAGAATTGAGTGTGTAACATGGTGGCGAGGCTGTGAAGAGAATAGATAGAAAGTGAAAGCCGCAATGCATTCTCTTAAGGGCTGCATAACTGTAACAAACTACCTTACCAATTGTAGATGAGGCAGTCCTCGATATTGCCCTTCTACTTCGCCACAATACTCACCACGTCCTCATCTGAAACTATATGGCCCAGTCCGACTCGCTGAGGTACATGTCTCGCACTGGCACCCCACACAAGCGCATACTTGAACGTCTCTTTCAAAGTCCGGTGAATCTGGTCACAGACATCCTCGATTGTACTGCCATTCCTAACAATGAGCGCCTCGCTGAAGTCTGGGTCGATTCCCTTTCGCTTCGTGTAGACTCGGATCAGACGGAGTTCTTCCCAACAACGCTCTACAACATCTTGGATACCAAGGTCAAGTTCGCAAGACATGACGACAGTATGCGGTTCGCGGGCAAGGTTGTCAAGGAAGTCAAGCGAGATACTGTCGATCTTGTTGTAGACGTATAGGCATTTGATGTACTTTCGATGGTCCTTCATGATAGTATCAATGAAGTCATCAACAGTAGCGTTTTCGTCCCGCACAAGAACCTCGCAGTTTAGCATCTTGTAGTCGCGGAGGATGTTGTACAGCATCTTTTCGTCGAGGTACTTCGGCGTTGCTTGGAAGGTAATTTTCATACCCCCGGCTTTCTTAGGTTTGAGGTAAATGTTTCTTTTCCCGCATAGTTAGTAAAACAGAATTCGAGAGGTTTAAAGTCTTCAGAGCTTGCCGGGGAAGTTATACAAGGTTATCAAATGATACTTACGGGGGCTCCCGATTTAACCGGATGCCGACCGCCTCCAACTCTTGCTCCAGCAGCCTCCTCTGCTCGGCTTTCTTCGTTGCATCCAATATCATCAAAATTAGGTCACTTGTCTTTGCAGCAGAAATGACCTGCCTTCCTCGTCCCTTCCCCTCCGCTGCACCTTCGATGATACCCGGTAGATCTAAGATTTGGATCTCTGCACCGCCATACTCGAGAACACCAGGGATTGCCGTAAGAGTTGTGAATGCATAGGCTGCAACCTCGGATTTGGTTTTGGTAATCTTTGACAGGAAGGTGGACTTTCCAACAGATGGAAACCCAACAAGCGCAATTCGTGCATCGCCGGATTTTGACACGTCGAATCCAGTACCACCACCGGAGCTTGCGCCGGGAGCTGGCTCGAGGAGTTGGGCTCGAAGACGTGCGCGTTTGCTGTAAAGTATTAGCGGAGCACTGAGCAGAATTATGAGCTCATAACCAACCCTTTAAGAAGACCGAGGTGGTATTCTGGCCTCAAGTATCAGCGCACGTGATAGATGAAAATCTGGGACTATGTGCGATACCGGTGGCTTTGTTCTCTAATCACGGTTAGCATATAGTTCCTTTGTAGTAATAAGGTAAATCTTACTCTGCGTCTTCCTCATCTCCTCCTCGATCCTGTAGAGATGTTAATGCTTGGCACACCGAAGACTTTTCATAGATTACTTTACTCTTTGATCTTTTCTGTGATGTTGACCATATTGACTGCTTAGAGGGTCCAGGAACAGAAGAAGAGAGTTTGAATCAAATCCGGACGAAGGAAATCCCTTTATGGGTGTCTTGTGGAGGTCTCACGATGGATGAGGTTTGGTGTTGAAGTCTCGTCAATCTATATCGGGTTTAGCGCACGGTAGTGCGCTGTGTCATCACCTGCTCGGAACAAGGAAAGCTACACCGACTGGCCACGCCACATTCATAAGCTTTTGCTATAACATGTACTCTCTCTGCCTTCGCTCGCCTCGGTTGAAATCTCTTCTCCTTCTAGAACATGATGACGCCTTTGGATAGCTGGCCACGGACCCACCATGAACTGCTGCAGCACTATCACGCTCAGTTCGACGAAGGCATTCGATCAGGCCAATTCCGGCCTTTTGTTTACCCTTCGGGCATATTCGGGGCACTAGTAGTCCTGATCTACCTCTTGGTTCCACATCACCACCGTCCATGGCTACGCAGGGCACGTTTCCTCGCATGGGTCTGGATTGCGGCGGTTGCTGCGTACTCAATCAAATATACGCGGGCGAAGAACATGGCCCCGGCTTTTGGGTTAGGTCTAATCTCCGCATGGGCTGTGATTTGGCTAATGGCGGTGTTGGTGTGTAACGATGCACAGACCGATTTTCAGAGAATTGAAAGGACAGAAGGAGCTTTCAAGCAGAATATCAAAGAGAAGGGTGTCACGAATGGAGGGGCTGGGATCACCCAAAAAGGGCGGAACGAAAGGAATGGTGAACCTAAAATGTCTTCTCCAAACGGCTTCGTGGAACACCACGAACATCTCGGACCTAGCAAGCGGCACGGCGAATTTGCATGGCAGCCATACCCTCTGGAACCCTTTGTCGAACGTCTGGATTGGGTCCTGGATGTCTTTTGTAATTTCAGGGGAATGGGCTGGAATTGGCGCATATCGAGCATCCCCCCACCGCCGAAATGGGTACAAGAGCAGTTGCATCGAAATTCTCCAAATCTGCCACAGCACTCCCACCGCCTCCACGCCGGACAATCTCACGCGTACTCAACCCGACGCAACCTCATTCTTGCAAATATTAAGACGCTGCTAATAGGCTATGTAACACTAGATGCTCTAAAAACGCTTATGAACCACGACCCTTACTTTTGGGGTCTCGTAGATCACGCTCCTCCTCCCTATTTTCCTTCACTTTTACTACATCATCCAATAGTACTCCGGCTATATCGTCTAGCTGTCTCCCAATACATGATCAAAGCGTCCCTAGAAAGCATATTCGCGCTCGCGCCGCTCTTTTTCTCTGGCGTGCTCGGACCTTCATTGATCGGAGCACGTGCCGAACCTTGGATGTACCCAGAAGCATGGGGTTCCTACTGGACTGTTTTCGACCGCGGATTGGCTGGTTGGTGGGCGAGCTGGTGGCATCAGACCTTCCGTTTCGCTTTTGAAGAGCCAAGCCGCAAGCTGATCGAAATGATTGGTATGAACAAAAGAAGCGCCCTTGCAAGAGCACTACAATTAGTGGTTGCTTTTGCACTATCAGGCTTTCTCCATGCTTGTGGCAGCTATACCCAACCAGGTCCGTCGCGACCTCTGCTAGGACCAATGCGATATTTCTTGTTCCAAGCTTTAGCTATCTTCCTCGAAGGCTATCTTTCAATAATCCTCCGGCGCACGGGAATACAGCGACGAGTGCCGAAATGGCTGATGCAAACATTTACGTTTGCCTACGTACATTTTTGGTTCTATCACACTTCGCCACTTTTATGTGATGACTTCGCACGAGGGGGCATCTGGCTATACGAACCAATACCAATCTCGCTCTTCCGGGGATTGGGATTCGGAGTTGAGGGAGATAAATCGTGGTGTTGGGGTGGAGACTGGGTGAGGTGGCAAACGGGCGATCTGTGGTGGATGAGTGGTATTGCGTTCTAAATCGTCAGTTCCATGTCAGGAGCATTAGATTTACATTTAGTGTGTAACGTCATTGAATGCCTTCCAGTTTTACCCTAATCGCAATACACCAGTCTGAAAATTTCTACTTGGTTGAATTGAATAATACACTTTTTGACTCTTCTACCGGGAAAAGCCGGTATTGAGAGCAGTTTAGGATCTAGTTTGAGATCATATTTATGCATGACCCTCATGCGAGGTGTTTAGTATCCAACCCTTGATCTTCAAAATCATGGTCTTCTGGCAGATATTTATACTCACGATAGACAAATTCGATCAAATGCGCTAGACAAAGACAACATCCTCAAGGTAAAGATACTCGCGTTAGTATTTAACTTTCAGCGCCATGGGGAAATAAGTGCGGGCCTTGGATACCAAGACACCTCACAAAAAAACTCGAGAGAAATCGTTGAACCATGGGGACATTCTCACAGGGGATAGAAGCTGTTCAACGAGATTGTGTTGAATTATGTAGTTGAATTGCGAGGAGCCTAGTCGACATCTGCGCCTTAAGTTTTAGGACACATGCACGAAATGCTCAACAGGATATCCAACGACATCAGGTATGGGATTCCGCGGGTGAAGTTGTACAAAATTTCCAGAAACTTCGGCAATATTACTCCGGGTATCAATGTCTCCACTCGCACGTGGTGAAGTCGTACCCAGGGCTTCCAACAAGGCGTAGTACTGTACGATTGGGCGATTTTGAGGCCTGTACAGGTGAGATTTTGGGTACGTTTGTACAACAGGGAGGAGGAGAGGTAGGTGTACGTATTGTAACTGTTACAGCTTACGTAATCTGTATAAGTAGTACAATTTAATTAAAGTACACTATACTCTAGTTAAAACAGCTAAGATTATAGGTCTTTAGAGATATAAAATTAAAGTCTAATTAACTATAAAATAACTAATTCTTTTTAGTAATAAAAGCAATGAGGTTTAAAAGCTTACTACTTACTACTTACTACTATAGCTAGTTCTTCTAGAGTTAAATAGCCTTAATTATTAGTTACTATATAACTAGCTGCGCTAAAACACCTCTTACACTTACAACTAGTAGCTGTAACGATCCTTATAAATCGTTCCATCGAGGATGGCCTAGAAGGCCCCCGTATCGGCCCCGACCCCGACCTGGCCCCAACCCCTGCTGTTACCCCTATTCCCTTATGTATTTAGTCGCACCTTGCCCCTGTAGCTAGCTTAGTAGTTTTCTAATATCCTTTGTACAAGGCCTATAGATGTTAATAGAATTCCTAGGTTATTAAGTCCCTACGCACTCTTATATGCCTCTAAGTGGATTTCTACTGCATTTAGGCCTATTGTCTTGCCTGTGCTGTTACATTATATTAGAAAACTTACTTTTACTAGTAACAGCTTTATTAATAATATTATACTAATTATTTACTTAACTATGTCTAAGCCTAAGACGCGTCTAATTTAGTTTAGGTTGTAATACTTACACACTGTTATATTAAACTATTTAGTCTATAAATAGGATTCTAGAGACTTTTTATTAACTAAAGCCTTTAAGTTTAGAACTTTCTATCCCCTGCAATTAAAATTACTTTTAGAAAAGTTATAAAGAATACACTAAGGTAAAAACTTAGAGACTACTAATAACTTATTAAGATTAGAGATAACTGCTAATGCCTAACTTGTAACAATTCTTATAAATCGTTCCATCTTAGGTCGCCTAAAACCTATCTAAAGGGTCCCTGTATCAGCTCCAACCCTGACTTAACCTGGCCTCAACTCTGCCCTGCCTCCTACTGTACCCCTATTCCTTCATGTATTTAGTCGCACCTCTCCTCTTAGCTAGCTTAGTAGTTTTCTAATATCCTTTGTACAAGGCCTATAGGTGTTAATAGCAATTCCTAGGTTCTAAGTCCCCACGCACTTTTATATGCCTCTAAGTGAATTCCTACTGCATTTAGACCTATTGTCTTGCCTGTGCTGTTACATTAATAATAGTAGCTATCTTAAAGGCTTACACACTACTAGTATAGTTACTATATAAGGTTTTAAAGCTAATTAAGAGGTATTACTAAGTGTATAAAGCATTTAGCTATTATTAGTTATAAAGTTATTATAATAGTAGCCTATATACACATACTAAAAAAGTAAGCTACTACTGTAAGAAAAAAAAGTAGTTTCTAGAACACTATATATTGTTACGGTCTACGGTTGGACCAGCGTAACTCCACTAGCAGTGCTCCACAATCTAGCTGGATTGGGACAGGGCTCGCTTACGGACCAGTCGGAGGACGCGGAGGCAGCGCAGCTGCCTACAATAGGCGAAGAGTGTCTTGTTTAATAGGGAGACAGGCCGCGAATTTAGGGAGCTTAAGGGAGCTTAAAAGAGCCTATAAGAGCCTTCTTAGCAAGCTCTTATAAACTCCTAATAGCTTCTCTTAGCGTCCCTAAAACATGTATATAGTTATACTATAAACTACCTTTTAGAAGGTGTGTTTAATATTTAGTTTATTTATTACATAGACTAAGTAGCATTTAGCTTTCTAAAGAGCTATAATACTATTTATATATCTTACACTATATATACTTCTAACTTTATCTAAAAGGACTGTTTAACTCTAGCCTTTTTACTACTACACATAGGGTAAACTATAATCTAGTCACTCTACTACTCTCTAATAGCCTATTAGCCTGTACATAGGACTGTACACTCTACTAGATTAGCCTGTACATAGGACTGTACACTCTACTAGATTAGCCTTTACTATCTGTCTGTCACGGTATCCTCCCCAGATCCCAGACATAACTATATTAGACGCGTACTAGAGTATTATTAGTGCACGTCTAACATAAACATAACACAACATAGACATAAACTTAAGCATAAACTACTTTAATACTAACTAAACCTAGAACAAGCTTAATTTACACTTAAAGCGCTTAGACTTTTAAGCTAAGTATTTAATTACTAATTTTTTTTTAAACTTTTTTATTTCTTACATAACATCTTGTACTTACTATAATACTTTATATAGTAATTAAACTAGACCTTTATAAAGCTCTATAACCTTGCTTATGTATAATTATAACATTATGTTGTGTTAAAACTTTAGCTAAGAATAGCCTCTAAATTTAATCTAATAAGCTTAGTACTTATATAACTTTAAGCTATTAAAGCAAGCTAAAAAGCTTTTTAAAAAGCGCTTACTTTATAAAAAAGCTACTATGTTATAAGCTTTAAAGCTTTTTAAAAAAACTTTAAAAAATAGCTTTATGTTATTAAGTAGTTTATTTCTACCTTAACTTTTATTATAGTAGTAAAAACTAAAAACTTACTAGCCTTAAAGCTTACTTAGAAGTCTAGAGATAGCTTAACTTTTTTCTACTTAACACTACTTATAACTTATAACTTTTTTAACTTAGTAATAAAATCTAACTAACTTCTTAATCCTTTACTATTTAATAAAAAATAAAAAAACTTACTTTTCTTTTTACATAAGCTCTAATATAAACTTAAAAGAAATATAGACTAATTTTTTTTAAACACTTCTAGTTACTATATGCTTACTTTTAACTTAACTATAACATAACAGCTTTAATTAACTTACTAATAAATAAAGATATTATTAACTTAGATTAATTTATAGTGTTTTTATAAGTAACTTATAAAGACCTAAATAAAAAGTTAACAGCTTTAAGTTACTTAAACACTTTATAATAAAAAAAAAAAAGCTTTACTTTACACTTTACTAAGTTTTACTAACTTACATCTAATATAAGCTTAAATAAGATAGGTCTAATTATAGCCTTATATAACTCCCTCTTAACTAAACTATAACGCGCTATAGTAGAAGAACCCCTTTTAAACAACCTTAACATGTATGTAAACCTAATTGCTACCTATAATAATAACATAAGGTTCCTTCCTATATAAGCCTTAATACACCCCTAAACTAGCGCAGTTATAAATAAAGACCTTAATATAATAAAAATTAATTTAAATTATGCTTTAGTTAGTTCTAAAAAGTGTAAAAATTATAAAAAAAAAGTTAATACTTTAAGTGTAGTAAGCATAGTTATATTTTTTAAAACTACTTTATTTCTCTTTTTTAAGTCTACGCAAGTAGCGCTGCTAGCATTTATTAAAAATTTTTACTATTTTATTTTTATTTTTATAAGGGCTTTAACTTATATTTAAGCTTTAATTTTTTTTGCTACTTTTAACATAGCTACAGCTATAGCAGTAAGAGCCTGTAAAAAGGCTTGTCTTAAGGCTAAGTTGCCCTTTAGAACTAATTTAACACTAGATTTTTGCTAACTTATAGGCTAAGTTCCTTACTAATAACTAAAAGTACTAAGTTAATATTTCTATATATTTATAATAAAAAACTATATTAGCCTTAATATAAGCTTTTATTAACTTAGAAATAAATAGCATAAGTTATATTAATAAAAAACTAGTATGTAAACTAAATCTTTAATTAACACTACTTACCTAAATAATTTACTTAACTAGATTTAATAGAAAATAACTTAAAAAAAGTTCTATCTTTTATACTATAACTATTATAATTACTTACTAACACTATAAAAAGTAGATTAAGCTCTATGTAATAAACATAAGATGTTATAACCTAATTCTAGAATAACTATAGCTGTATTAGCATAAAGTTGCTTTTAATTACTAAGAGTAAGTTCTAAACTTTAACTTTTTCTAATGCTAAGATGTATGCTTATGCTTACACCTAAACAACACTTAAATAGCACTTAATATAAAAGGTCTTTAAACTTACTTTTTAATAACTTAAAAAAAAACTACTTAAGTAAGGCTAATAAGCTAGGCCTTTTACTAAAATAGGCTATATAAAATAATTTAATAACTACTTAAACTTAAAGAAAAGAAAGCCTTTAAGAAACTTTTACTTACTTAATTTAAACATAAACTAGGACTTAAACAGTAGATAGACATCTACTATATAGAACCTACCTTATTTATAACTCTAGCTTAATAACTAGATTATAAAATCTACACAGTTATAATTTCTAATATAGACTAAGCTTTAGCTCTCTAAAAATATACTAACTTAAGAATAATAGTTCTTTAAG